TAGCAGTTGAAGAGAGAGAGAGAGAGAGAGAGAGAGAGAGAGAGAGAGGCGACCAGGCCAAGTGACATGGGAGTAGGCGACTGGGTTGGGGTGGGCAATTGCTCATCTCTTGTTTTTTCTGATTTTTTTTTTATTTTCTTAATTTTATTTTAAATGGTAAAAATTATGTTCCAATTCCAACCGTAAAAAATGTGAGTTGTTTAAAAGTATGACACATGACATATTTTGAGTAGAAGTATCACCAGCTGACGTGATGATATGGTACTATTCTATAATTTCTCCTCCACATGAAGCTTATATTTTTTTTTTAATGCCTTTATTTATTTTAATGCAAGTTTTATTTGGTTTGGGGTATTGGCCCGCCACCGCTACAATACTTCAAAAATAAACATGTCATAATCAAATATCTCAACCTATATCTCAGCTTCCTTACGTTCGAGTTTGATTCCTTTTTCTGTATATTAGAGTAGTTTTTTAATAACCAAAGTATATTAGACTAGTTTACAATATTGGTAATAAAAAAAACATATATCTCGGTTCACTTGAGTCACATAAACACTATTTTCAGTTATTTCAGTAAAAAAAAATTAGAAAAAATTATTAGTTTTTCATGAGTCCCATGTAAATAGGTTATTTTATGAAAAAATCGAGTCATGTCACCCAGCTCTAGTTACTATTCCAGGTTACAAAGTAAATGACCCAGTTGTATTCACAGTGCACTTTGTATTAGACCTTTCTCAATACGCATTGTCCACAAACTATTTTTTTTTCTTCCTCTCATTATATATAAATATATATGTACATAGAAACTAAAACACAATCCAAGAAGCCAACGTTCATAGAAATTTTTTTCTTCTCATTATACATATAACTGTGATGTCAAATGTTCAAATAATATATTGGTTATATACAGTAAGAATGACAAAATTGTTTGATTTTGTCTCGCTATACTCACTTTATATTCTCTTTTGTAAAGCAATAAGTAGCACTATGAAAATGGGAGAAACAAGAAAAATAATATATGGAAGAGTTTGACTCAGTGTACCTACTTCACCTTCAGCCTCTTTTAGCACATAGTCGGATTTATTTTCAATGAAAGCTTCAAAATAATTCTGGAAGCCAGTGTTCTTCCAAGGTGGGCTCCTTGTAAGCTTCATCATTTCCATCGCCTGCCAGATGCATAAGTTCCATATAATATAAGATGGAAATGAAAGAAACTGCCCGAAAACATGCACTTGAAAAAAAATATATATATCCAATTTGAAATGTGAAAAACATTCTGTAGTAAGCCCCATAACATATAGCCTACTATTTCCAATTGGTATTTGGATCTTAGGACATGAAATACAATCGTTACAAATGCATGCCTATGATATAAGTATCATTTCCAGTGTCAATTCAGAGTCACGGTTTGTTTTTCTTTAGGATTGCACCCTACATTTGAATATAGAGCGCCTTGGTGCCTTGTCTCTTGCATACAGATGCTAGTTTACATATAAATCCAACTAGTAGTTACCTGAAAGCTGAACACAAATTGCCTCGCCTTCTTGCTTACTTTAGCAGTTGGGTGGGATTGAAGCTTCTCGTACATGACTTGAGCTTCCTGCGACCTATCAACCATCACTAATATTTAAAATCTGAAGGTATTGTAGACCAGAAAAGATAACAATAGTCAGAAACAGCCCATCTCTATTGAGGATGTGCCACATTCAAACCCAAGAACATAATCACAACACAAAACATGGTCTCCGTTATATCAATAATATGACAGAGAACATGGCTTCAGATAGAATGATAGAGAAGAAGTCATGTGCCCACCCGAAATAGCTGCATCTTTTATACGGGATGACAAAAAATATGCCTTTTCTTCTTTCCTGAACATGGCTTAAGATGCAGGCTAATCATTTTGATCCACAAATGCCTTAAAACTTTAAACGGGATGACAAAAATTGTTATTGTTTTTTTACATTCACATGAAATTTTGGCAGGTAATTGTGCACAGTCATGTCGTCACATTGAAATGGGATGTTGCCGAACTTCGAA